GTAGATTTTATCTAGTGATCCATGGTGTTTTATGGCAATAATATCAAAAAGAAAAAAAAAAAGGTTCTACTTTGAGGAAAAACGTCTGAAGTTTGGGGATGTTTCTCCCTTATGTTCCTTTTTCTTTGCTTTCAGGCATCTTTCCCAGGATGCACAAGCAGAGCAAAACTACTGCCTGGCTGGAGGAGAGAAATCCTTATTTACCTGGTTTAGCTTAAATTCAGCAGATATCTGTTTCCAAATGGCAGTGCATTGTACTTATTGCTCAAACTAAGGAAAAAAGTAACATCCCACTCTATGGTTGGCAAATTTGCAGCAAGGACCCCATTGAAAGCTGCTGGCTTACATCTCATATAACCTGAAATAAAGGAGTCACTCACACATTCATAATCAATACAATTACTTCTACTTTACATGAATTAAGTAATTTGTATGGCATTACTGTTTGGGGCATTTGTATCCCTATTCAGAGCACTTCTTCAGTATTTCAGTCCCACTGATGGTAAAGGCAGGTGCGTGCCAGTTACCCACAAAACCAAGGCAAAGCTCTATGGGGAAAGCCTTTTATGTCCATCTAGATTTGAATTTGTAGTCCCTTTCCAATTACTGTGCTAATTGTTTAAGAGATTGCTAGACTAAAAAAGTTTTTAATCACTAATCTGTTTTTGAAAGGAACTTATGGGCTCAAAACCTGAACTACATACTTCTTAAATTAATTTTCTTCATGAATACTTCTTTCTCAATACAGATTTGTGAGTCAGAACACCCTACTGTGCTTGTTTCTTTGTCTTTTCTTCAAACACCTGGCCTATTATTCTCCTTTTTTTCTTTCCCCCAACAAAATCGCTCACTCTTTGTAGGCAAGGTTCTGATGATATAATGTCACTGGAAATACGGAAATTTATCCAGCGTCCTATGGCACCAGAACTGAACTTGAACCAGAGAACAAACTGAAAAAAATTTGACCATTTAGCCAAATGTGAGTCCTCCAGTTGAAGTATTTATCGATGTTTTCTGAAGAGATACTAATATGCTTGCGGGATCTTCCAGCAAAACACCTCAAAAACTTGTGATGTGGGGGGTAAAGTCAAGAAGTTTAATTTGAAGATAAGAGTTTTTCCCTCAGTAGTTGTAGAAGATGGCTGGGGTGGGATTGTATTCAAATTTCTCTGTGGCTTTGGAAATCCTCCCATGTATTTTTGCTTTCAGGAAAATCAGATAAACCAAATAAAACAACCAGGGCTTCAGGCCTGCTTCAGGTGAAATCTGTGCCAGGAAACAATCTTGATGTCACCCAGAGAAGATTAGAAGATTTAGGCTGCAGCACTTCTTTATTCAGAAGAGAGGCATAGGGACAAATACTGCAGTCTCTAGGCTGCAACTTTTCTTTATTCAGAAGAGAGGCATAGGGACAAATACTGCAGTCTCAATCCAGTGCAGGCTTTGCCTAAATTAGGACTAAATAATTTATTGCACAAGGCAAGATAAAATGTCAGGAAATAATTGCAATGTTTAGTGTGAGACACGCTCTGTAAAATGGCTGACTTGTTCAGGATGGGGGAGGCTGCAGACCCCATTGCCCTGAGAAAGTCTAGGAAAGCACAGGTCTCTGCTTGGTTAATAGCAAATAGTTGACCCCATGTGCAGCTATGAAACTAGGCTGAAGGTTTTTCAATTAATAGCTCTCCAAAATTTTTTTAAATGTAATTTTAGTACTATATCCATAAAAGCTGGTAATTAAGCCTCTTTTTTTAAAAATTTAAAGAGATTGAATAAATAAGACTTCTTCCCTTGGTGTGATATTTCATTTTAACGTAGTAATAATTAGCACATAAAACTTTCTGGGTTTTGGTTATGAGCACTCTGTGGTTCCTAAGCTGATTTCAAGTGTTACCCTGCATATTTATTTTCATAATACCATTAGCTCTCACAGCTGGAGTTCAAATCACATGGAAGAATGGAAATTTCTTGGAAGGACTCGTTAAAGCAGAAAAAAATGAAATCACCTTAAAGAAAAGCTCTTAATTTCAAAGTAAACCCATCTGACACATCAGGAAGCTGTGTTCTCTACCTATACCCGTTGGGAACTGCTGATGATTGCAGACACTGGCTCCTGCCCAGATAGCACAGGGATGACAACTTCTCCTTAACCAGGAACAGAGCAGGCAATACACTTACCTTTGCTATTCTGCCATGTGTCAAATTGGGCACAGTGGCTTGAAGCTGCAGAGCCATGCAGAAGTGTGCACTGAAGGAGACAGTCCTGGCCAAGTGTGACACTGGGAGGAGTTCACAGCTGGCAGGGGAGTGTACCCAGAAGGCTGTGGTCTCAGCAGGAGAGGAGGATGTCTTGGAGAAGCGTGCCCTCTTTTAAGGAGAATTAGGACAGAGCAACACCCAAACTGACAAGGTTTTGGGAGCCAGCCCTGCTGTCCAACCCCGCACTTCCCACACTCGTGCTGGAGTGGCTCGGTGTGCTGGGTGGAAGTAGCAGCTCCCAGCTCTGGCAGGAGCTGTCATGCACATGAATGAAGTTACTTGCCTCTGTGTGTTTAATTGCTGTCCCTGAAATGATTTCTAACCATAACTATTGGAAAAACTTTGTTGATAGATAAATGTTATCTCTGATGTAACTGCTGAAATGTAGCTTGTGAATTTGATTCCCCCATACCTGAGTGAGATATCTGTGGCCCTCTGGTCAGTGATGAAGATTTTGGTGATAACACAGGGCCTACTATTTCATGCCATGTACTACATCAGCCTTCAGTTCTTATTTTTCACATGCTGCTTCTGGTGAACTTGTCTATGAATATAATCTGGCAAAAATACCCAGGTTTTATTATTATTGCAGAGTTATTTTCTTAATGACTTATGGCAAGTGCAGGACAGTTTCTGCTACTTTAAACGAAACAGTGAGTCTCCTTTCCTGCAGAACCTCTCTGCATTGCAAGAGAGAGACACTTGTGGCAAGGAAAGATACCACAGAAGCTTGTACAGAACAGGAGTTGTGTAATGACAGTTTTCAAGCCATTAACCTACTTTAAAGGTTTATTTGGAACAAACTCAACACTTGAGTGGATACTGTGTTGTGCTGCCAGTTGGCAGCCTGGACCATGAGAGTGGACTGGTGGAAGCAAATAGCTCTTGTGGAAGAAACACACTCAAACTTTGTGTGAGAGGTTCTGCTTTTCCCAACAGCTGAAACACCACCACCTGCTCCTGCCTGTGCTACCAATGAGGTCTGTGAGCCCAATAGAAATATTTCCACTCTAGTGGAAAGTGATGAGTGTTTGTCTTTGACCCAGCAAACTTCCTTCTCTGTCCTGGAGCTAACTACAAGCTCGGTGCAGTCTCCAGAAGCAGCAGTGATGTAGCTGGAGCTCTGCACCTCAAACTCTAGCTGAGAACTCAACTGTGTAGTTTTAAGAGTAGGCCTAGAGCTGCCTTGAGAAAGAAGTTCTGAAATACACAAAATCTTTTCAGTGTAATTGTGTTTGAGGACAGTTTGAGAAAACAGGCAGCCTAAGTGCAGGAGTTCTATGCTGTCCCATCAACCACAGGAACAGATTTTGCTTGGACCTCTGCTGCAGGTGTGGGAAAGGTGATCTCCATGTGCAGCTAACTATTGGCCTTTCTTTTGTTGCTGTGAAGCAAAAATTAGCACTTGTATAACTCTTCCATTTGTACAGTGTCGTGTTTGTTTAATGAGTCCTCACAACAGCCCTGTGAGGTAGGCGAGTGAGCTGCAAAAGGAGCATATGGTGACCTGTCCTCACTTTTCACAACAGCACCAGGAGGATACTACATATCCTCACTTTGTACTAAAGCATCAGACCTGTGGAAAGTTCTCAATTCCAAGTCCTGGGAGCCAACCCTGCTGTCCAACCCTGCAGTTCCCACACTCATGCTGGAGTGGCTCGGTGTGCTGGGTGGAGCTCCCAGCTCTGGCAGGAGCTGTCATGCACATGAATGAAGATACTTGCCTCTGGTCCTGGATGGGGAAGTTCAGCAAAGACTTTAAAATGACCTGTCATGGAGTCCAGGATTGTGATGGACTGTAGACTTATGCTCAGTAAGGCCTCTGTTTTCACTCATTTCAACATTGGTCCAAGGAAGAATTTAACACGTCACATTGAGTACTCATTTACATTCTGAAACTACTCAAAGCATGAAATGTCTCAAAATATACAAGTAAACTGTTAACTTACTGGCCTGGTAAGGTGTGCCAGAAATCTTGCTAAAAGTATTCAGCAACCTCATATTTACAGCTATAAGCTACTGATTGACATGTATATACATACACAGAGACCTACAGACAATTTACTGCACACTGCTAACCTACTTTCACAGGATACAGTTCATGTACAGAGGTTAAACTTTCTTAGTTAAGACATTGACACCCTGAACATAAAGGAAACTTTTTAAAAATTTGAAACAAGGTACTCTTTACACTAACCTAGTTCTGAATCAAAAGCCCATACTGAAAATAGTCCCCATCTCATTCCTGCTAAGTCTGTCTAGAATGCAATATTTCACTGGCATTTGCACTTCAACATGAAGCATGGTCTCCAAGTTAATAACTGTGCACTGCTTCTCAAGTACTGCATGTAAGAGTTCCTCCTGAGAAGTTAAGAATTGCTTAGAAAAGTGGTTATTCCTACAAAGAATTTTGAGCCTTTGGACTAGCTTCTGGTGAGTTCGGTGATTTCAAAGCTTCAGATATGTTAGCCTGATTTACACAGATGAGATAGTTCCTGCTTCTGCTTCTGCAGTGCAAGAAATTATACAAACCAATTTACTGCCTGATTTCATGTTGTAATGAAGGAAAACAATATTTAGCAGGTTTATTTCCTTTCAGTCTGTTACCGAAGCTGCAGGAAATACAGCTCTCTGTGTGTGTGTGTGTGTTTTCTTTTTTCAAATGTGTCTCTCTAATGAGAGCTACTTATTGGAGAAGGCATTCACTTTCCTCTCCGTGGCTGTAGTCTGTGGGAGAGCTCCTAACAAAGTTCTTTGTTAGTGTTTGTAAGACTGGAGATGAGGTTTAATTGAGGGATTTGTGCTGAATGTTCTTTCGCTTTGAGTCTTAGTGCTGCAATGCTTGACGTTTTCCTTTCAACTGCTGCTGGATCAGTGAAGGCAGTGAGAACAGGGTCTGACGGGGGTCCAGGAGCTTTCATTAGTACTGAAGCTGTTGTCACGAGAGGATTTAAAGCATTGAGAAACCTGTATTTGAAAGAAGTCAATATTACCCAAATTAAGAATTGTTTTGGAGAACAAATACTTACTGAGTTGCAGCTTCCCCCCAACAAAGTATTAGGAAAAAAAGTTCCAAAATTCCCAATTTCATCCAAATGTACATTTTTTTAAGCTTTATTCTGCAGTATAGTGGCTTGCCCTTAAAAAAAAAAAAGCAACCAAAACCCAAGCAGAAAACCCCACCCTAAATAAAAAACCAAAATACTTTTAAATAAAATGAGCAAGAGATAATGAGACATGGCATGCAGATATCTAAACTAGCAACCCTTTGCTTAACCCCTCATGTGAAATTCTTTCTAAACAAACCTTGGATGCTGTAGATCAGCCTGTTCTGTGAAAGCAATAAGCCACCTCATAAAAAGGCCAATTTATATTGCTGTTTGTGCAGACAATTTGTTCAGATCAATTGATTCCATGTGAAAAGCGTTTGTCTGTTAATGTAGTACTAAGATACAAGATCCAATTTCAGCAAGAGTGCTATCTTCTATTTACATATATATATATGTATATACTTACATATAATATATAATGTATTTACATATTTTATATATAATGTATTTATACTTGAGAGAGTGAGAAGGATGGAGCTGCAGCCACACAGGTCACAGCAGTCTGTACGAAGACTAGAGTTCAGTGAGACCAAAACTGCAGTAAGTATGCACAATTTGTCTTCAAAAAGCAACTACACATTAGGATTTTATTAGCATGACTTAAACCCAAATCTAGCTATTCCTAATCAAGTGAGCCTACACAGGAGCTAACCTGTTTTAGTAAGTTTATTGAGGACATGCAAGTAGCAAAATAATATAAAAGCAGCATTTTTAACAGTTTTGAAATTTAGAGAAAAGAAAATTATTCTATACCTGCCAAAATGTGGATTTAATATAGGATTTCTGAAGAGTGAAGTCCAGGTAAGACTGCTGAGGCCAAATGGCCCTAAGGTTGAAGGACTAAAAGCTGGGGACATGGACGGCACAGCCAATGTTGAAAGAGGCATTGACCTCCATGTGTGATCTAGGAGGGGAGAATGACCCAGTGGAACATCCAAAAAGAGACCAAGTGGGTGAGTTAAGGAGATTCCCGGAACAGTCCCCAGAATTTCATTTTTTTCACGTTTCCTCCACTTTGCTCTTCTGTTTTGGAACCAGACCTTCAATAAGAAATTATAAAGGCATTAGCTGAACTTACTCTGCAGTTTGTCTTACCAGCTATTACAGCATGTATTGATATGGATGAAAAAATAATTACTGTTTAACCAAACCCCACTTCCTTAACATAAAAGATCTTTTCATAAAGGCCTTAGTGGGTTTATTACAAAATAAATCACTTTTCAATATTGTAAATTTGACTAGTCTCTGACTGAAGAGTCACAAATGTTTTAAAACCATTGTCATTTATTAACCTATCACCTGAAACGCAAGAGCAATTACTAAAAATGATCATCACTCTTCCTTTCATAACCTATTTACTGAAAGTTAAATTTCAACAAAGCCATTCAAGAGGTGGCAATTATAATACAGTGCAAAAATTGTTTTCCAGAAGTTTTAAATAGCATCTGCAGTATTTAAAAACCAGGTTTTGAGGGACTCAGATTGCTTTACCTCAGCCATGCCCTATGACCATTTCCAGCAGTGTAACTTACCTTCAGGTGCTTGAATGTCATGAAGTGTGTGTGGGAGAAAAGCCCTGCACACACCCAGTGCTGATCCCCAGCCTTGCTGTCCCGAGCCTGATGCTGTTTCTCTCTATCAATTGACAGAGACACAATTGACTCTTTCAAAGCCCTTGTCCTGGGGTTCTCAGGATCCACCTGAAGCAGTACTGTGCTGGTCCTTCCATTGCATGCAGTGTATTTACACTGGAAAGCTGCTGTTCTCCTGCAGAGGGATTTGCACCCTCAGATTTAGTGTGTAGCACAGAACTGTCTCGCTCACAGGCAGTCGGCAGAGGGAGGGGCACTCAGCAGAAAATCAGAACATCAAGATTTTGAAGTTGGTACTTGAAATTCTTGAGTGGCAAGACTCATTATTTGGTTTTTCCTCTAGGAACCATCAGCTTTCAATAGTCAGATGTTTTACAAGGGATATTTGAACCTGTGAAATGCCAGGCAGCTATGCCTGCATGGCAGTGAGGACGAGATACTCCATCAGTGTTAGTCCAAGACAGGGGTCTGGTAAGGAAAACTAAATTACTGGGATCACATTAATTTAAATCCCTGTTAACCAGGAATCTCAAATATTTGTAAGTGGAGCTTACCTAAGATCTCCCAGGAGAAGACCACCAACTCAAAAGTTTAGTGTTGTCTATGAAAAATATCCAGCTGAAAAGGCAATAATTGTCTCACACTGAGATATGCAGATACAGCCTTTCCTAAAAAGGATAGATGCTGCAAGGGTGTTCAGTTCTTACTAAATCTTAGCACTGTTCTTCAATCTGTTCTTCATAAAGAAGCCTAACACAAAATTAAATGTCTGCTTTTCTGTTTTCTCCGTCCTAAAGCAAATCCATTTGATCACTCAGACATGCACTTTGACAAAATATATTTTTTTTAATGTTACAGGTAATTTTGGGCTTAACTCCGAAATTTAATTGTCTCTCAGATTTTGTATTTCTCAAACTGGAAGGAAATAGCAGCACAGATATCTAATAATTACTGTTAGAAAAAAGCTGGCTTTCCATTCCTTGTTGGTACAAACCCATCAGTTCAAGTGGCAACAGGAGTAGACCAATGCCTCATACCTTAGACTGACATGACAAACAGCTTTCAAAATTAACTGCACACTTTATAGTCATTAACATTCAGATAAGTCATCTTGAAATATTTGTTAAGCAGTTTTCCTTTGCTTCCAATAAAAGCCTTAACTTGCCTTTATTCTATTTTCAGACACTTCTGAAGTGACAAACTAACCATAACAGAAACTGCTATACCAGTCTTAAGATTTTTATGACTGTAATATCAATGGCAAAATACTCTAGAAAAAAGTATTACTTAATACTCAAGAATGAGTTTTAAACCATCAAGTTTTGAATTGCATGCTAAATATTGCCCAGATTATATTTGCAATTAGTAGCATCATGCATGTCTGACAAGAGATTCAGGTCTTTTATAAAGGAAAATGTGAGCATGTAAAATTTGATTGCTTTCTTGCTGAAATTTTCTGTAAAAATGTATCCTATTTAATTGATGTAATACCTAATGATGCTAGAAAGATACATAGATGTGCATAACTGTATCATGTTTCTGCTGTAAGTGAATAAGAGGATCATAATGAGAAAATATGACAAGGATTTCTTGATCAGTTATATCTGTAAGCCAGTGTTTTAAAACTGATGCAGTTTATGGCAATGAAATACCCATGAAACTTTTTACCCCTCACATTAAACAAGATAAAAGATTCCTTTAACTTCTTCTTATTTTCTTCCCATCCTAACAATGTGAATAATGAGAAACATGAATGGCAACAACAGATGCAAATGCTATTGAAGAGCAATCCCAACATGGGTCCAGGTTGTGAAAAGGTTTTGCAGACTCTCTGACTACCTCTTTCCCAAGGTAAGGAATCTTATTGGGAAGGAATTCTCCCTTATTCTATAAAAGTAAATAAGGGGGGTGTTGGATGAAGGAGAACTCTTTGAAATGATGATGGACTGAGCATATATTCATGCCAGGTTTTTTTCTTATTTGTTCATTTTTATGTGAGACTCAAAAGGCCAGAGGAGTAACAATGCAGTGGCTGGTACCCATTTCAGCTGGTTTCTCCCCAGACAAGCAAACCTCCATTTGTAAAGCACACTGAGGTCAAGAAATGGTCTGACTGCATTGGGTAAGATTAATTTCTTGAGTTTACATGTGACTAAGTAAAGAGATGCCACTTTCCATGTCAAGTGATTTATCCAGGTACCATGGGAGAGGGTTGGAAGTCTTCATTTCACACAGGATGCCTTACAGAGCAACTATGAGCATGGACAAACTATTTGGTAATTATGGTGGTTTAAGTTCAGTACATCACTGTCATTCCTACCCATCCCCTTCCATCCAGGCTGAGCCCAGTTTTCCACGGGGTGGGAGCTGGGGCTTGGCTCTGTGCACTGCAGGCTCACACTGAACAGCTGTGCTGACTCTGTGCCCCATGCTCAGGACACTTGTGTTAAGACCTAACAGTTTAAGGAGGCAAAGATGTACCAGGAACAGCTCTTTGCTGTTCCTTCCATCCCCTGGGGATGCATCAGCTCTTGTTAATTTTCTTGTTAATTCCTTTTTGGCTCCATCAAACAAATGTTTTGGTTTTGTTTGGTTTTTTTTCCTAGATGAGTCATTAGGAGATGAGTTCCTCTTTGCCATGGACCATTGCACCATTCCTTCACAGGCTCTACAGAGTATGTACCCCACAAAGGGAATTTGATAGTAACAGTTAAAGTAACAACTTTTCACCCATGTCTTTTTCATTGTTGGATGCCATGTGCAATTGTCAGAGACTGGGGGATGTCAGTGACTGGAGGTTTTAGTCATTGTTGGTGTTAGGAAGAGTGGAGGATACATAATTTCCCTCAAGTCCACAAAAGAGAGCTAAAAAGCTCATCTAGGTGTTCTTTGAGTCAATTATACAGTACCATTCATACTTCTAATGCCTTTTTTGAAGATGGTGCCTATTAAAATAAAAAGCTAAAAAAGTTACAGTTTTACAGACTGTAAGTGTGGTGTGAACCATCACAGATCCAGAGACTGGAGTAATGACATAGTATTCAAAGAAGGATCTGGCATTAACAGTATCAAAGCTATGCAGCAGTAAGCAGGACTGTCACATTGAGCAGCTGCACCAGTTCTCAGTCTTTCACAAGTAGGCACATACCCAGAGTTGTGCTGGAACAGTCAATATCTGATCTACAGCACAAGCCAAATTTAGTACAATTGTCATTTGCAGCTTATAAATACTTGAAAGTCTTCACACCTTTTGAAACAACTTTTTTATTTGTTTATATTTTTTTTTAGGTTATAATTTCTGTATAAAAAGGGGATTTCTAGGTTATCAAGAGATGAATCTAAAAAAAGGATTTTTAAGGGATATTATTAAGGAAGAGTTCATAGAGTCAGAAAAAGTTACTAAGAGTCGTTTGCAGTTTAAGCAAACTGCAGCCTACAAGGAATTAGTGTCTGTCTAAGTGTGCTGAAGTTCTACAGGCATTGCTGCAATCACAGCCCAGCTGGACATAAAATTCTCTGGGACAGGACCTGTCAGGATTCTCTGACTGTCATATATGAATGTCAAATTCATATTTCATTTGTTTTATCCGGTCATTAAGAAGCGTTTTTAGTTTTATTGAGCTAAGTTAGACCAAGAGAAGGAAGCTAACTCTGCAGCCTCAGTAAATAACTTCGAATACCCCACAGAACCCCTCATTTTCTGTAAACAGCCTAATTTATCCTTTTTTATTCCTGCCTTTCGACCCATGAAGGCGGCAGCACAAGCGGGAGTGAAGCGCAGCATGGGAATGTCGCCGAGCCGCCGCTTCCCCGCCGCGGAGGTAACGCGCCGCTTGCTCCGTCCCTTCAGCACCACCCGCCGCGGACAGGACGCGGCACCGCCGCTCTTCCCCTCCCGCCCGGCTGAACCCGAGCGAAAACGCTCCGTGTTCAACCCTCTCTTGTCCCTCGTCCCCTCCGGCACTCACCTGCACCCGGGCTTCCGTCAGGTCAAGGCGCAGGGCCAGCTCCTCTCTGCGGGAAGAGCGCTCAGTTAGAGCCGGAGCTCGCCCGCCGCCCGGCCCGGCCGCGCCCGCCCCTCCCGCCGCTACCTGGTGAACACGTCGGGGTAGTGCGACTTGCAGAAGGCGCGCTCCAGCTCCTCCAGCTGGAAGGTGCTGAACGTGGTGCGGTACCGCCGCTGCTTCCTCTTCACCGGACCCGCCGCCTCGGGGCCGGGCGGGCGCTCCTCGCGCTCCTCCGCCTGCGGCTCCCCCGCGGGGCTGCGCGCTCGGCCGGGCCGCGGCGTCTCCGCGCGTTCCGCGCCTGCGGGAGACAACCGCGGAGTTACTGGGGCGGCCGGCCGTGGAGCGACCCCGCCGCCCCTCAGCGGGCCACCTGTCACCGCGCCGCCCTCCCCGCCGCCCCTCACCGTGCCGGCCCGCGGCGGGGCCCCGGCCCAGGATGCTGTCGATGAAGTAGGAGGTGAGGAGGTGCAGGGCCGGCGGGGCGGCGGAGGCCGCGCTCTGCATGGCTGCGGGCAGGGCCCCGCGCCGCGCCGCGTTTTATGTGCGCGGGCAGCGCCCGGCTGCGCGCCCCGGCATTAGCATTTCATTAGCGCGCGGCGTCAAGGCCGGGGGTGGGACGCGCCGTGCCCCGCTCCCCGCGCAGCGCCGGGCCGCCTCCCCCGGGCGGGCACGGAGGCGTTCACCGCCCGTTCCCCACGGCCCTTCACCGCCCTGGGGCCGTGCCGCCCGCTCCCTCCGCTCCCGCAGCCCGGCGGGAACTTTTGGAAGCCTCGTTCGGGGGCGCGGGGCGGAAGCGGGGAAGTTGTGCCGGTGCCCGGCTCCTCGAGAGCTGCGGATGGGTCCCTCTGAGGGCTGAGGGACCCGGCTGAGACCCAGGAGTGAGGGAGAAGAGTCGCTGGTGTTTACCTTTATTGCTCTTCATGACTTTACACTTGTTGAATTCAGCTTTTTAAGGCTGACCTTGCAAAGTACCGTGTGCCAGCAGGTGAAGGGAAAGTGCACAAACCCATGCAAGACGGAGTCCTTTTTCCTGGAGATCTCTTAATTCCACTCCTGCTGTAATTATGTTGTCGGTGCAGTTACAGCAATGGTTCCTCAACAGGAGGCCTGGAAACGATTTCCTGTACAGGGAGACTTCCAGCAGTTCGGTGATCTTACTGTGGTGTACTGATAGAGACTGTCATAAATGAGATGACAAAATGACTTGAGCCTGAGATCTTGATTTTGGGGGATGAGAATGAGATACTACTTTCTAGAGAGTCTTGCAGAGAGTGCAGCAGAAAAGGGCTAAGAACCCCCAAACCCCAAAACTAGTGGCTGAAAGCTGAAGCCAGAAAAATTTAGATTAGAAATGAGGCAAAATTTAAAAATCTCTGTGTTTATATCTAAGTTTTGAAACAAGAGTGGTTTTGTGTTCTGTGTCTTCATATCAAGTTTACATTATTACAAGTTTACATATTAGTTTGTATTCCAGCTGAAGACATAGAGGCTGTCAGTGCAGAAATGCTTCCTGACTCTGTGTCCTGTCAAAAATCTTTTGGTTACTCCTGGCATTGCAGCCCACAGGCATTTTTTTTCCCAGTTTTTCCTTCTCTCCTCCTACCTTACTGGGGCTGTGTGACTGCTTTAGTGGTTCTATCTTTGTACTGACAGAACTCCTTGCTGGCTCTCTGTTCTGCTGCAGGGCTCTTCTTTGACTCAGACCTTGACTTCATTCCTTTCACTACCATTTGGTTTGGCCTGGAGCAATACCTTTGTGAACCTATTCCTGTGGCATCCTCTATGAGAAGGTTTGGGGCCGCACCTTGTGATGCTAACTCTTGAAAAAGTAAGGTGCTTGTATGAAAGATGACTCTGGTAACATTTACAGAAAGTGGGTTTTTCTAACATGGTGTTTATTTGACATTTTCTATTTATTGCCCTATTTAAATCCTGATCCTACATTCTAAAGCTCAGTCTGCCACATTCAACCTTAATTGTGTTCAAAGGCCTAGGGACTCATTTGTGTTGGGAAAAACAATGATTCTGTGCATCCTATGGACCAAATGCTGTCAACTCCAGGACACAAGATTTGAGTGATCTAATTTCCTCTGACTAAAGAAACTGTCAGAACTTCATAAGGAATATCCTGGATGTTACAGTTGCACATTTGTCTATGGTCAAAGAGAAGCCCCTGCATCTTGGAGAGCACACCCAGGAATTCCAGTGGGATCTCCCAAGAGCCAGAAGGGACTAATGACTAATTTTTGTTACTTCTGTCTTTCATACAAACCAAATCCATGAACAACAGCAGACAAAACTTCTGTGAGGAGCTGCAGGGGTGGCTTCTGTGAGAACCTTTCCCCACATTCGACAGGCCAGTGCCAGCTGGCTCCAGGATGGACCCACTGCTGGCCAAAGCTGAGTTCATCAGCAATGCTGGAAGCACCTCTGGGACAACAGAATTAAGAAGAGGAAAAAACCTGCACAACAGCAGCTGCAACCAGAGGGAGGAGTGAGAATATGAGAAGAACAGCTTTGCAGACACCCAGGTCAGTGAAGAAGAAGGGCAGGAGGTTCTTCAGGTGCCAGAGCAGAAATTCCCCTGCAGCCTGTGGTGCAAAGCTGTGGTGAGGCAGCTGTGCCCCTGGAGCCTGTGGGTGTCCATGGTGGAGCAGAGATCCACCTGCAGTCCAGGGAGAACCCCTGCAGCAGTGGATGTAGCCAAAGGAGTTTATGAACCTATGGGAGCCAGTGCAGGAGCAGGTTTGCTGGCAGAATTTGTGACCCCATGGGGACCCACTGAGGAACAGTCTGTTCCTGGAGGACTGCAGCCTGTGGTGGAAGGGACCCATATTGGAGAAGAGCCAGGACAGCTGACCCACCTGAGCAAAGGGGTATCCCAGAGCATATGAGGTCTGCTCAGCAATAAAGGCTAAGGGAAAAGGCTGTAGGACATTTATTATTATGAAATTTGTCTTCTAGAACAGCTGCCTGCATGGGCTGAAGCCCTACTTCCCAAAAAGTAGCTGGACATTATCTGCTAATGGGAAATAGAGAATAAATCTTTTGTCTTCTTTTGCTTCTGTGCCTGGCCTATGCTTTTGCATTATTAAACTGTCCTTATTTTAATCTGTTATTATTTTCATCCTTTTTTCTTCCCTCCCTGTCAAAGAGGGGAGACAGCAGCTTGGTAGGCAACTTGGTTTAGCCAAAGCCAAGCCACAATATATTTGTATTTTTCAGATATTCTCAGGCAGCCCACGTTTACACTGCTGACTGATGCTTGAGTTGTTATTTTGGGTTTGTATTGTGTCTTGTTGTGAGCTGAGCAACCTATGTCATAGTTGCTGCATAATGCCATTGAAAATGCCTAAAAAGAATGTGATTTAAATGCTTTTTCATTACTTTGTGTTTAACCAACCTTGTTGCTACTGCTTTCTTGGTTTTCTTTGGCTCCCATACAAAGTGAAATGTGACAGATGAATAATAAAGTTGACCTTGTCCATGGAGTGTTTGAAAGATGAAGGGAAGAATATGCATCTGTTTGTGCATGACAGCAGAGCTCCAACTGCATAAGGGGCACTGGTGTTTGCTGTGCTTGAAATGTCTCTTGGCAGTTTGATAATGTATTTCAGCATTCTTATACTGCCTTAAATATATATGTTAATGAAGTTTAATATTTAGGCTTAGAAAATAATCCTTTCCATATCTACATTAAAAAAAAGTTTTGAGATGAAATATGTGATGAGGTTAACAGGAAAAATTTCTTGAGCATGGCCAAGGAGTTGATTTGATAGCTTGGCATGGATCTTTATTGGCTTGAAGGAGGAAAATAGCTACTAACTTGAGAATTAAGTGCAAAACTTGGGTAAAGCAGAAGTGATTCTGATGACAGCTCTGCATTGACTGTGGCTGATGTCCTAGGAAGCAGATGAAAAATGCTGAGAACCTTTAATACCAGTATACCTCTTTGGATTGTTCATATTCTTATTAACAGAACTGTTTTCTCATTCTGTTTCTGTTTTACACAGAGGCCTGAAGATCTGCATGAACTTGAAGATCAGCACCTCTCTTTCATTTTATGGGATTAGATCTAGATTGTGTGTGGCAATCAAGTAAATACTGGGGAAATGCAAGACTGAATGTTGTGGTACAGCCTTAGCTGGTTTCTCTCAAGCCAATTGATACTTATTATATCAGCTGCACCAGAGTGCAGTAACTCTTTTGTAATGGAACCACAGTAAGCTGGTTTCCCATTTCAGTTAATAACTTGTGAAAATAATGTAAGTGCTTTTTGCTGATTAGGCATACGTGACTGCTCGGAAAAGAATGTGTGTGCAGTACGTGGCAATTCAGCTTTCCTTTCTGTGCTGCATATTCAAAAGCACAATAAAATATTAGTTGAAAGAAGAATAAGATAAGAATTGGAATGTTGCTGACTGTGGAGAAGGCACTGTGTTGAGATGGCAGACCCTGCTGTCACTGTGCTCACTCTGACCAACCCGCCTGGAGCAGCTGTCCCTCTCTTGTGTCCCCATCCAAATCTCTTGGCAGTCTCACTTTCAGATCTCTTCCTTCCCCCTCTCTGACCTTTGATTTTATGCAGACAAATAAACTGAGAGCCTCAGTCTTCCCTTTGTGCAGCTGGTTGTTGGAGGAGATAGATTATTCTTGAAAGGCTGGCATGTAAGGGGGTCCTGTTGAAGTGACATGAAAGTGTTGCAAGATACCTGGAACGACCTAAACACCCTGCAGTGAGTGTCCTCTCAGCAACTGCTGTAGTGCACTATTTCTCAAACCCTTTGGTGAAGAGCTCCTTGGTGCACAGGTACCTCTAGCAGTGCTGTAATGATAAATTAATATTTACTGGATCTGCTAAAGCCACCCCTTTGGGGTCACAATTAAATGAGGCTCTCGTCTCTTCTATAAGGTCAAAAAAGAGTATGTTTTAACATCTCAAAGTTTCTAGACTTTGCATTTATGGAGCAAAACACTGGTAGCACCTAGGATCCCAGAAGACCAAGAATAAGTAAAAAGGATGCAATATTTGCATATATTTGCAATATATGCAAATATAATTTGTTTTTTCTTAGAAAGTGCTAGATAATAGACTAAAAATACATTTTTAATCTCTGTTTAAGGGTTGATATTTTACTGTTTCTGAGGGGTGTCTGTCCTCTATCATGTTTACATATTCCTAGGGTGAAAATTACTTTTTTTTTCAAATTACTTTTTTTAGGGGCTGACTATGAATGTTGGACTAGACTTGGAGGACCACATTACTTCTTCCTTTGCTGGCCCTTGACAACAAATCACTACTTCTATGTGCATCATTTATTCATATGTGAAATTGGAATGGTCACACACTCATTGCTATTAAATTATCTCTGGGAAAGCTGGGTCTGTTTAGAATAATATTTAGAATAAACACAGCTGATGTTTACCCATTCACAATAGTAAAATGTGTTATACCCATAAAAAACACGCTACAGACGTTCCCTTTTTAAGCCCTAAATATGATCTTGTGTTAGTTTCAAAATGACCACTGGAAAATTTTTCTGATTACTTTTTTTCTATA